ACACAGTGACTTTTTTTATCTTACAACTTCTAAATATAAACACTATAATTTTCATTATTTTAGATATTATATAGCCGCACATGCGGACCAGTCACCTAATTTTATTATTTTAGATATTATATTTGCCCGCACAGGGTGTGGACCAGTCACCTAGTACAATATTGAATGCTAAGTCGTCTCCTACAGAACTAGTCCTACTCAATAAGGAATCGTTTGTATTAAAATTGGCAGCTTTGAAATTGAGAAATTGTATTCTTATCTCTTATCAGCTATTATATCTGATTGCTTATTCGGACTTAGTCTAGATGTGAATTCGAAGAAGAGAAAAAGTCAACACAAAACTTTACTATGCATTGGAACACAGATCAATCATTATTCATCATTTCTCATCCTTAAAATTAAACACATTTTTGCATCTTATATGAAACCCCAAATGAGGGACAAGAGAGTCTTCTTCTTAGTCTTGCTCTTCTACATCTCTGTGTTTTTTATGGAACTTGGCAGAGGACAGAACGACAGAAGAACCGAAGTCAATGTAGGCGTAACTGATGCGGGGACTACATACTCGGAGGTTGCCATGCTATGTGTCAACTTGTCTATTTCCGATTTTTATTCTTCTCATCCTCAGTTTCAGACAAGGCTTGTTGTCAACGTCGGTGACTTAAGAAACGACGTTGTGGGTGCAGCCACTGCAGAACCGTCCACGTCTCCTCTCTCTCAATTCGAGCAATGCCTTATGACGTCTCCTATGATTTCATACCTTTCGAGAAACGTCATGGTCACGCAACCGGTAATTACAACGACTTGGGGCCACCAAGTGTTCCTTGGGGTGAGTAAGATTACTAACTAATCTTCCCTTAAAAGAGTAGTTACAAAAAATATCTTAGTGAACTCTTCTTTCTTCTCTCTATTTGTAGAGATACGATGTGGTTGTGGGTGATACAATCATACCGGCGAACAGGTCCTCTTACGTGGATTTCGCATTCTCGTTCATTAAATCAGGTGTGGGTTTGATTGCTCCGATGGACCAAGTGGGGAGAGATAAATTCCGTTGCTTGATACCTTTGTCATGGCAACTATGGTTAATTTCATTTGTCTGTTTCTTGATTGTGGCTTTTACTGTTTGGGTACTTGAGAATTGGGTTAATGAAAGTCCGACAAGATACCAAGCTAGTACCATTTTTGCTGGAGATGGATTTAGCACCTGCCGTAAAACCCGTCATAAACAAAGATCAACCAACTTTAAAAAAGAAAGGCAGCATGGAAAAAGAAGTTGGCAAGGACAAAAGATATGAGCGTTTAAGAAAAAATATAGAATTTTGGTTTTGTATTGTGAAAACAAATTAAACAATCAAATGAACTATATAATAAAAAAAATTAAACAATCACATGAACTATATGATAAACATATATAATTTCCGTATATGTTATATTTTAAAATTTAAAAACAACTATAAATTAATAAATCTTTAAAATTTCTGCATAGAATATTCTAGGAGTAATAGTTTCAGTTTTTTGTTATAACAAGAAACAAATAATTTTAAAATCACGGGAAAATTCCATAAAAATATACCAGCTTAATTTCATTAAGCTATTTAATACCTATATTTTTTCGATACCCACTTTAATATTCTAACTAATTTTTTGTCTATTTCAATACACAAATTTTTTTAAACAGTGTCCCTTTTAATACCAAAACTTAATTTATTTTAATAAAATATTAATAATTCTCAAAACCAATTTAATAAATCTCTAAAATGCAAGAAAAATACTAATTTTTTGCATTTTATTTTCATATTTAGTAAAGAATGTTAATAAATTAAGGAGAAAATTAGAAATTTTGATTTCTAATTTTGAAAGAAAAATAAATAAATTTGTTTTCTATTTCAAAAATAAACTAAATTCAATATTTAACACTTAAAATTTTTATTGAAAAATCTAGGATTATAGACATTTTATTTATTTTTATTTCTAAAAAATGATAATTTTCTGAGATTTTTTTGTAAAGTTTAGAGATTTTTTAAAATTTCGTCAGTCACTAGTTTATTTTCTAATTCATAATAGTTAGCTTATTTTCTAAAAATTTAGTATTACCAATTTAAATTCATTTTTATTATATAATAAATTATATATGAAATTATTAAAATATAACAAATAAACATAATTACCTAAACTCTTGAAAAAGTTGACAACTTAGAAAATTTACTTCTCAAATAATAGTATAAATATGTAAAAAATATTTATGGAAACAAAACATTGTTTAATCAAAGTTAATAAAAATTCTGATAACTAGTGTTTTTTAAACATTAGATAATTGTGTTATTACAAATTATACAAAATTACAGATAAATCAGTCTTATGAGAAATCACGTCTAATTGACCACCTGGACTGCTCTATGGATCCACTCTTGACATAATTTATTACACCATGCTCTTTAGTAAGTTTTTTATTATTAATTTGTATAACTTTGCATTTTTTGAGACTCGAAACCCAGACATTCTGATGTATAATACTAATGAAGTCTTAGAGCACCCCATCAAAGGTTCAGATGGGGGTTCACACGTTTTTCAAAAAAAAAATATTAAAATAAGGAATAGTGATGAATCCGTCTCTTGTAGTTCTTTGCGGTGAACCCGATTCATCACTGTAACACAGGCCCCATGACACGTGGCGGCCCATGATTCATCTATTTTTTTATTTTTTATTTTAAAAGAAATCAAAAAGAAAACAGAAAAAATTTAATAATAAAAAATTGCTTCAATGAACCCCGAGAGGGGGTTCATTTATGTGGATGCTCTTAAAACCAGATCGGGTAATACAAAAACCTAATAACCAATGTTTTTAAAAACAAATCGGAAATTGAACCGAAAAAGTTTTGGACCACGGAGCAATATAGTCTAATTTGGTTTGACAGAGTTCAATGATATTTTAAAAGTATCAGCATAATTCTTTTGATACTTATAAATATAATATCTAAATATAATCTTCTAAATATTTTTTTATGGTAGTAAAGCATTGTTAAATCAAAGCTACTACAAAGTCAAATAATAAACAAACGGAACAATAAGATCTAAAATAATATGAATATTCTGATAACTTTGCAATTATGTGGCTATAGCTCTTAATATATACATATATTTTTTAAAGACATAATATGGAGTATATTGTATGGTTGTTCTATTCCGGTTTGGATTCTCAGACCACCTCAAACTTGAGCAATAGATCAGCCTTTTGATGTCAAAAATAAATAAATATGGAGTACATTGTATTACAGTTTGTACGTTCTTGCAATTACGGTTGATAGACTCACTTCCGCTAGAGAAAACAATGCTGAAAATTGATATAAGACAATAGAGATCATTTCCTTTCTGATCGCCAAAGAAGAGAGCAAACGGAGTGGTTTTACCCTATTTTCGATATGATTCATGTTTGGTTTGGTATCAATTGCTATGATTTAGGAATTTTTAGATGAAAAAAACAAATTAACTATCTACAGACCGAGCCAATAACCGAACTTTTAAGAAGTCATATTAACTGAATATTTAACAGAATGTAAACAAAAGCAGAAATTCGGTTCGGTTTGGCTAATCTTCGCAGGCCAGTCTCCCGATGGGTTAGTTTCAATTTTATCGGATGTCCTCGAAGGGACTCCCGATGGGTTAGTTATTGCTTGAGTTGGATAATACTAAAATAATCGTTTTAATTTACAACTAGATCTCAACCCGCACAACCGTGTAGGTATTTTAATACGAAAATATTTGAAAATATATAATACTTTTTCCGTTTTAAATTAGATGATGTTTTAAAAGATTTATTTTGTTTTAAAATATAAGATGTTTTGAAATTTTAAGATATAGTTTAAGGTTACTTTTAACTTTATTGGAAAATGTTTGACCAATAAAATTTTACTTTTATTTTAATAATTAGTTGAATGATTTTAAAATTATATCTGTAAAAATACTGTTGTAAAAAATGTAAATTTCTTAATCTTTGTGCAAGAATCCAAAACATCATATATTAAGAAACGAAGAGAATAAAATTTATCAACATATAAATATAATTTGATTCTGTATACTATTCAATTTTATAATAATATTTGTGTGGCTTATAATATTATTAATATAAAATTTATAAATTTGTATTTAATTAACAATTTTTTTAAAACATTATTATATAACATTACTAATTTATATATTTTGTTTTATTTCTAAATTTGAACTATATGTAAAAAGTAAATTTAGTTTGACCTACATAATACATAAACAAAATTTTGGGATATTGTTAAAAGTATTTTACATAAATTTAATTGTTTGTTTATAAATAAAAATTAATTAAATTTTAATTATACTTTATGATAATTAAAATTTTAATTAAGTAATTTTTGGAACTATATCTTAAAAAGATTCTAAAAGATCTTTTAAAAGATTTTGTTAAAATTTTCATAGAACTATTTATTTATATTTAAAATAAAAACTAAAAATATAAAAAGATATTATAATAATGTTATGTAAAATTTTATAAAATTTTAAAGATGGTCCAAACTAAAAAATCACACATGAAGTGAGTCATGACTTCTCTTTTAATATAATAGATTTAAGTTTGATCAAAAAAAAAAAAATTTACAATTTAAGTAAATCATCATACAATAAAGTCCATGGAATTATACTATGTTTTATTTCGATACTACTTGCATATTTTTTTGTCAGATCAATGCATTACTTATTTTAATACAGTATAAAATGCTAAGTTGTCTCCTACAAAACTAGAATCCTTCTGAATAACGAATTAATTGTATTAGAATTGGCCAGACTTTGAAACTGTATTTGATTCTTATCTCTTATCAAGTTATCAGTTATTATAATTGATTGCTTATTGGACTTAGTCTAGATGCGAATGTGAAGAAGATAAAAGTCAACACAAAACTTTACTATACATAGGCACACAGATCAATCATTATTCATCATTTCTCATCCTTAAATTAAACACATTTTCATCTTATATGAAACCCCAAATGAGGGACAAGAGAGTCTTCTTTTTAGTCTTGCTCTTCTACATCTCTGTGTTCCTTGTGGAATTTGGCAGAGGACAGAGACAGAACAACAGAAGAACTGAAGTCAATGTGGGTGCCGTCACTGATGTGGGGACTACGTACTCGGAGGTTGCCATGCTATGTGTCAAGTTGTCTCTTTCCGATTTTTATTCTTCTCGCCCTCAGTTTCAGACAAGGCTTGTTGTCAACGTCGGTGACTCAAGAAACGACGTTGTGGGTGCAGCAGCTTCAGGTACCCTCCTCATATCCTCTCTCTCTAAATTTTTGGTTTATATACATTACATACTAGCAAAAGCGTCAACTTGGATTGGCAAGATAACATATCTATGATCCCTATTTATTAAGTGCACTTTGGTGATATAAGTGGCACAATCAATTTTTTAGAAGTTTTTTCACATATACCACAGGATGTTACAATATGATCCATATTGAACTAAACATATATTGTTCATGATGTGTTGACATAGGTAGCCAAATCAATTTTTTAATTATTTACACATATATTGTGAACCGGAATGTTACAATATGATCCCTACTGAGCCATAAATATATTGGTTTTAAAACTGTCACAGCTCTTGAGCTGATAAAGAACAAGCAAGTGAAAGCCATTTTGGGGCCGTGGACTTCAATGCAAGCTCATTTCTTAATCGAGATTGGCCAAAAATCACAGGTTCCGGTTGTTTCATACTCTGCAACAAGCCCATTTCTTACATCTCTCCGTAGTCCATACTTCTTTCGTGCTACATATGAAGATTCCTCTCAAGTCAACGCCATCAAATCTATCATTAAGTTGTTCGGATGGAGAGAAGTTGTTCCTGTTTACATCGACAACACATTTGGAGAAGGTATAATGCCTCGTCTCACTGATGCCTTACAGGAAATCAACGTTCGAATACCTTATAGATCTGTCATCTCACTCAATGCCACTGATGATGAAATCTCTGTGGAGCTTCTTAAGATGATGACCATGCCTACAAGAGTGTTCATTGTCCACATGTACTCTTCTCTTGCCTCGAGAGTCTTTATCAAAGCCAAAGAGATTGGTCTGATGAGACCGGGGTATGTCTGGATCCTGACCAATGGAGTTACTGATGACTTAAGTTCGATAAGTGAGATGGGTATTGAGGCTATGGAGGGGGTATTGGGTGTTAAGACTTTTATTCAGAAATCCAAAGAACTCGACCAGTTCAAATCTCGATGGAGGAAGAGATTCCCACGTAAGGAGCTTAGTGTTTACGGATTGTGGGCATATGATGCTACCACTGCACTGGCAACAGCCATTGAAGAAGCTGGAACAAATAACCTGACATTTAGTGAACCAGAACCTGGGAGGAATGTTTCAGAACTTGAAGCTCTTGGTTTATCTCAATACGGTCCAAAGCTTCTTCAGACACTCTCACAAGTTCAGTTCAAAGGACTTGCAGGAGATTTCCATTTTATCAATGGGCAGCTGCAACCATCCGTGTTTGAAATTATTAATGTGGTCGGAACTGGAGAAAGGTCAATAGGATTCTGGACCGAGGAAAATGGTCTTGTGAAGCAACTAGACCAGCAACCCGGGAGCATGGGCGCTTTATCTACATGGAAAGATCATCTTAAATACATTATATGGCCTGGAGAGGCTGATTCTGCTCCCAAAGGATGGGAGATCCCGACTAATGGGAAGAAGTTGCGTATTGGAGTTCCAAAGAGAACAGGTTACACTAATCTTGTGAAGGTCACAAGGGATCCTATCACCAATTCAACATCAGTCACAAGTTTCTGCATAGATTTCTTTGAGGCTGTGATTCGAGCAATGCCTTATGACGTCTCCTATGAGTTCATACCTTTCGAGAAACCGGATGGTAAAGCAGCTGGTAATTACAATGACTTGGTCCACCAAGTGTTCCTTGGGGTGAGTAAGATCATTACCTAATCTTCCCTTCACTCAGGTCATTCATTTGAAACATTTGAATGGACCTCCACTTTTGTGGGGCTCCTAATTTTAAAAAAAATATTTGTTACATTAATATAATTTGTGTTAATCTAAAACAAAATTGAGACAAAAATAAAAATTTAAAAGTAGTTGATAGAATTTATAAAATATAAAATATTTTGTTATTGTGATTTAAAAATAAATAAACTTATTAGTATAATTAAACTTATATACTATTATGGGACAAAATTTAAAACATCAATTCAGAGAACAAATTTGATAAAACATAATAAATTTACATAGTTTTTTGTATTTATCTTCTTTCAATAATTTTAAACCAATAAAAAAGCAATTGGTAAGTTTTTTGAAGTTTACAATTACTTAATAAAACATACATTGAAAATCTAAAAATGAATCTTTTAGAAAATTTTTTTTTTCTAAAATATGTATCTTTAAGGAATGGAGACAATATCTTTTAAAAATTTTAAATACTCCATCCGTTTCACTTTATTTGTCATTTTAGGTTTTTACGCACATATTAAGGAAATATTTAATTTTACATATTTCCAAGATAAAACACAATTACCTATACACCTAACACTTTTCAACCAATAGAAAATTAGAATATTATATAAAACTAATAAATTTTGCCTCGAACTTTAAAACGACACTTAATTTGTGACAAAAAAATAAGTTTAGAATGACATATATTTTGAAACGGAGGGAGTAATTTTTTATTTATTATGAATAGAGTCCCAAAAATCTCACGACCAGTTATGCTTCCCTTAAAAGGGCAGTTACAATAAATATCTTTGTGAACACTTCCTTTTTGTATCTATTGTAGAGATATGATGCGGTTGTGGGAGATACAACCATACTGGCGAACAGGTCCTCTTATGTCGATTTTACACTCCCTTTCATTAAATCAGGAGTGGGAATGATTGTCCCAATGGATGACCTAGTGAAGAGAGATCACTTCAGCTTCTTGAAACCTTTGTCATTGAAACTATGGTTGACTTCCTTTGCCTTTTTCTTCATTATTGGCTTTACTGTTTGGGTTGTTGAGCATAGGGTTAATCCGGATTTTCGCGGACCAGCTAATTACCAAGCTAGTACCATATTTTGGTTTGCTTTCTCTACCATGGTTTTTGCTCCAAGTAATCACTCTTTCCTCCCTATATCTTCATGTGTACCTATATTACCTTGGTTAATGCTTACTAGCGAGTTGTTTTTTACAGGAGAAAGGGTTTTCAGCTTTGGAGCGAGGATCTTGGTTATCACATGGTACTTCCTCGTTCTCGTGCTGACTCAAAGTTACACAGCCAGTTTGGCATCACTTTTAACCACACAACAACTTAATCCAACCATAACAAGCATGAGTAGATTACTTGAGAGAGGAGAAAGAGTTGGTTATCAGAGAACATCGTTCATCTTTGGTAAGCTTAAAGAAGCAGGTTTCTCCCCATCTACCCTTGTGCCTTTTGATACGGCAGAAGAATGCGATGAATTTCTCAGAAATGGACCAGAAAATGGTGGAATCTCTGCAGCTTTCTTGGAAATACCTTACTTAAGACTCTTTCTTGGACAATATTGCAACACCTATAAAATGGTTGAAGAACCTATTAATGTTGATGGATTTGGCTTTGTAAGTTTCCAGGACTTTACTACAGTGAATAATATAATACATTAAATGGTGAGATAAATAACTTTTATTTTTTGCAGGTTTTTCCAATCGGATCACCTTTGGTGGCAGATGTTTCAAGGGCTATCTTAAAAGTAGCAGAGTCACCAAAAGCCATGGAACTTCAGCGCGCATGGTTCAAGAAGAAAGAGGAAAGTTGTCCAGACCCAGTCACCAGTCCAGATCCAAATCCATATATTACCTCAAGACAGCTTGGTGTAGACAGTTTCCGACTTCTGTTTATCGGTGTGTTTGTTATATGCATCATAATCATCGGCAAATTCTTTTTCTGTTTCCTAAGGAAGACTGAAGGGAATAATATGTGGGAACAGTTTAAGAAACCTGACAATGATTCGTATATCAACCGGGTAAAGAAATGTTCCTGTTCGTCAAAACAGCAAGCGGTTCATAACAGCAGTCAAGCAACAAAGCCAGACGATGATCAATAAGTCATAACCATACCCGGCGTAGAGCATGTGCTCACAGTCACAGTTCATTTGCACTAGGTCCCTTTATTTTTCTCGAAATTCTTATGGGGTAATTAGGGCGGTGGTCTATTAAAGAGTTATAAATAGAAGGCCCAAATTTTCAATGTATCATGTTTTTTTTAATCATGTAAGATAATGAATATATCATGTTTTTATCATTTGATTTAGATAAATTTTGTGTCATAAATTAAGCTCTTATTCATATAGTTCAAATAATTTAGATACTTCTTTTCTTTTGTTGAGTGTTTATCTTTTGAGGGAAGAGAAAAGTTTGTAATTAAAGTTACTAGATGCATAGTCTGCGCGGGGGTTGGATACGTTGTTGATGTGTTGTGTAGTTTTGTGTATGAGACTCTGCTGTTTTTTTAACATTTGTTTATCTGGGTTATCTATAATGGTGATGAATGAAACATTAGAAGTCACACAACTTGATTAGTCTGATAAAAGAATAAACATCGAATTCATATGGGTTGATATTTTCATATTTTATCTTCGTAGTGATTTTATCGAGCATTCCCTTTATTAGTGATTTTATCGAGCATTACTGTTATTAGTGCTTTCATGTAAAAAAATAATTTAATGGAGACAAGACAAAAAAGGATATGTGTTTATTAGTGTAATTTTCTTTCTGAAATTATGTTGTATATATATATATATAATTTTTTTTTAATTGTGATGTATATGAGATTTATGGCCGATCTGAATGGTTCGGGGTAAATATTTATCATTGAAAAATATGTTTTTATTTTATTTGATGATTATAACTGAATTGAAATGATATTGGAGGTTAGAACATGATAACCTTTCTTATAAAAGTATCTAAGATGGTCTTATAATGTTTCAAATCCTTAAGCCATTTTGTATCCCAACAACCAGCATAAAAATCATTCTAAATCTCCCTAAGCTTTTAGGTATCCCGAAAAGCCCAAATTAAAAAAAAAAATTACATGCAAGCACTGCATTTCGAACCCGCGCACTCGCGGTACCAACTTCTCGTCACCAACTTACACCACTGGGTCATTTCATCACTCATCGATAACATTCAATCTTACAAAATGTTATACGTTTTTGTTTTCCCTAATAACACTCGTGGGCCCCGCAAACTTGTTGACGTGAACACGCTGAAGAGTTTCAAAAGTGTACTATTATTATATAGATTACATCCCCTATATATTATTTGTGAAGTGATTTTGCCACATGTCCTTTCTAAAATCAGTTTCACAAAAAAATGGTGACATGTCTACTAGAATTGATGACATGACATATGATTAAATATGACAATGACAATTGCATTTAATGTTAATATATATTTTTGGAAAACTTTATAGAATATGGTAATAACTCATATATTACATTTGATGTCGATTTATATTTTTGGAAACATTTTTAAAATATGGTAATAACTAATAAATCATCATTAAAACAAATATATACCAATATGTCATTAAAAATTTCGAAAATATCATTTAATTATATATTTTAAAACTATAAAATTTTATTACAAAAATTTCAAAAATGTTTACATTTTTTTGAAAATTATTAAAATTTAATCCTAAAATTATTAATTTCTTATATATTTAAAAATTTAATATTGTCTAATTTTAATTTTTGATCATTATAAAATTTTCTACAAATTTATTTAATATATTTAGTCAAAATAAATAGATAAAAAAATTATCTAAGATTATAATTTTAAGTATATACATGCATATTCTTAAATCTAATTTAAAATAAACAAAAATATTTTTATATTACTTTTTATGTTTGATTAAACAAAAATTTGTATTAAAATAGTGATAAGAAAAAAAACTCATAAATTATCATTAAGATAATAAATAATATAATAGTAGAAATATAAATATAATAATATTACAAATATTGAAATATTTTAAGTGTATTTTTTTAATTATATATTTTTTATTCATAAATTTTGTTTTTCAAAATTTTATGCAGTATTTTTTAAAATTAAAATTTTCTAATCCCAATACCATTAGCTTTATTTATAACATCTATAAATTTTAGAAATATTATTTAGTTTTATATTTTGAAAATTATATATCTAACAAAATTTTCTCTTAATAGTATAGAATCTGATTTAATATAATTTAACCAAAAGATAAAATATACATATATATTATTAAATATAAATTTAAGAATTTTTTTTTAAGATAGACCTAAAAAAATTTTTTTAATCACAAATATAGACCTTAAAATAAAAATGACCAAGATAGACTTAAATGTTTTATCAAAAATAAGTAAATATACACTTATATCCTTTGGGTTAACTAATCGTAAACCTTTTTGTTTAAAGTTGAGGAGTGGGGTTTTGGGGATAGGATTACAATTTAATTTTTTTTTTAAAGTTGAAATTTTCAAAATGAAAAAATGATGTTTTGGTCATTTTAGTTTTAAGATCTATTTTTGTGAAAGAACCTAAAAAAATTCTATTTGAGAGAACTATCATATATTTAAATAAAACTGTTTATTTTCTCTTAATTTTTACATATAATTAATATAAAATTAATAATGTAATAAAATAATAAATTTAAAAATTAATTAAATTTTATTTTTAAATATAAGTTTATTTTTAAAAATTTTATTTCTGCACATGGTGCAGGAAGCCACCTAGTTATTAATAAGAATAAAGTTACATTGTGGAATGCGATAATGGAAAGCTAAAGTGGCCAAATATATTTTACTGATTACAAAGTGGCCAAATATATTTTACTGATTACAAAGTGGCCAAATATATTTTACTGATTACTAATTTTCCATCATCTTATGAATTGGTAGTTCAATAGATTTGCTCCTACCTTCCATGTTGACTTAAGCTTGTAGATAACTTAGAATATAAGATAAGTCCTAATGAGATTAGGATTAGGAGATTTATAGTTATCCAAATATTGTGTTTTCCTAATGAGTTTAGGTATTTGTGTTTTCTATATAAAGGTGATATCGGCGTGTGATATTACTTGAGAGTTTGAGATTTGAGGTGCTTTAGTTTTGTGTAAGTTTCTAAGGCAATAAGAGATTTGAGTTGTGTTTCCGAATACCTGTGTTTGAGATTCAATATTCCATGATCGTATGAAGTCGATATTTGTATGTACTCTTTGGCACATGTGAGAGGACCTAGCCCTAAGTTTAATTTCTTGCGAAACACGTAACCTGCTTGATCTTTATGCTGACTTGTTATTTCACTTGTATATGATAATGAGTACTATAACAGAATGTAGAAGAAGTGAAGTTTACGAAACACGTCTTCAATATATACAGTAAACTACATATAGTTTTTTTTTCAAAGTAAAGAGTCATGGTCAGATGACAAAAAATAAAGAAAGTCATGATGATCCTTAAGACATTAAAAAAAATGGTTGCTCACTTGTGTCGTAAGCGTCAAATAAAAAAAACGCGCTTCAAGGCCTTAAATTCTCAGGCACGGCCCGGCACGGAGACATCTCTACCTCGTTGATGTACGACCGGTTGTCTGGCTGTTGAAACTCTCTCCAGTTCCAGAAACGATCCCCTTCAGTGTTCCATAGGAAACATAATGTCAATTTGCCGAGTGTTAGAATGCACACAACAAACACAATAAGAAACAGAAGCCAGAAACTGTCTACGCCCAGCTGCCTAGAGGTAAGAGATGGATTTGGATCTGGATTAGTGACTGGGTCTGGACATCTTTCTTCTTTTTTCTTGAACCATGCGCGCTCAAGCTCCATTGCCTTTGGTGACTCTGCTACTTTTAAGATAGCCCTTGACAAATCAGCCACCAAAGGTGATCCAATTGGGAAAACCTGCGAAAAGAGACTTATTATGAATTTATGATCACATTGTTTAACGAAAACTTTCACATAATTAAGTATAGTCTTGGAAACTTACAAAGCCAAATCCATCAATATTGAAGGGTTCTTCAACCATTTTATAATTGTTGCAGTATTGTCCAAGAAAGAGTCTCAGGTAAGGCGTTTCCATGAAAGCTGCAGAGATTCCACCATTTTCTGTTCCATTCCTGAGAAGTTCATCGCATTCTTCTGGCGTATCAAAGGGCACAAGGGTAGATGGCGAGAAACCTGTTTCTTTGAGCTTTCCAAAGATGAACGATGTTCTCTGATAACCCACTCTTTCTCCTCTCTCAAGCAAGCTACTCATGCTAGTTATGGTTGGATGAAGTTGTTGTGATGTCAAAAGCGACGCCAAACTGGCTGTGTAGCTTTGAGTCAGCACGAGAACAACAAAGTACCATGTGATTACTAGGATCCTCGCCCCAAAGCTAAACACTCTTTCTCCTGTGGACAACAAAACAAGAGTATAAGCATCAAGAAAGGGCACCATGCAGAAACAAGAATATATGATAGGATATAAAGAAGGGAGACAGAATGTACTTGGAGCAAAAACCATGGTCGAGAAGGCAAACCAGAGGATAGTGCTAACTTGATAATTAGCAGGTCCACGAAAGTCCGGGTTGACCCTATGTTCAAGAGCCCAAACAGTAATCCCAACGACGAAGAAGAAGACAAAGGAAGTTAACCATAGATATAATGACAAAGGTTTCAAGAAAGTGACACTGTCTCTTTTCACTTGGTCTTTAATGGGAGCGATTAATCCTACGCCTGATTTAGTGAATGGGAATGTGAAGTCGACGTAAGAAGACCTGTTTGCTAGTATGGTTGTGTCTCCAACAACAGCGTCATATCTCTGTGACATAAAGAAGAAAGCAATAGTTCAGTAGGTGATATGGTTTTACCAAAGTTCAAGAAAGAAATAGTTCAATAGGAGATATGGTTTAGACCAATTTTTTGAACGCCTAAACCGACTTTTACTTAAAACTCATTTATGAAAAATCATTTCGTTTAATTCTGATTTGCTTCTTAGCCCTTGATTAACCCTAATTTTTTTTAACTGAGCTTCTTAGCTTCGGATAAGAGACGGTTTTTAGTTTTTCTTAGATTTTAACTAAGAAAAAACTAAGAAAGCTAAGAACCGTCTATTAAATAAGAGATATAATATCCGTCACTTAGCCGAAAAGTGTAGAAAAAAAGAGTCAAATTATGAGTTAAGAACTCCGGCTAAGAGACCGGGGTTAATCATTCCCTTAACTAAATGCAAATTTGAAGGAAGATTAGTGTGTCATCGTACTT